CGGGCACGGTCAAGCGATCCGTGAAGTCTACGCTGGCCGCCGAGGGCTACGCCACTCTGGAGGGCGCCGAATCGAGCACGTGGTTCGGTCAGCTACTTACGGAGGCCTACAACCCGAAGAAGACGCTCAAGCAGATCGATGACCTCAGCACCAAACGATCCGGGGAGATCTACAGCGACAGCAACGGGTTGGTGACGCACATCAAGTCTGACGTGGGTCAATCCACGGACAAGCGGTTCCGCATCGTGGCATCAATGATTAAGGAGACGGTGCACCCCAACAGCCAGCTGAAGCTCTCGTGGATACCTACGTGGAGTATGGTCGCCGACGCGCTCACCAAGACCATGGAGACCGGAGTGCTCCTCGCTTTCTTCGGGGCCAAGAAGTACAATTTCGGCACTAGGCAACCGCACGCCGCCATGCTTGCCTCAGTACTGATGACATGTCTCGGACGCGTGAAGGCACAGCATCCCCCACAGGAATGGCAAGTGCCGATGTCACATTGGATCTACTACATGACACTAATTGCGATGCTTAGTGGGATCATGATTGGATTTACATTATTCGCAGCGCTGTGGTTTGTGGTGCGAAAGGAGATATTTGGGCCAGGCGACCCCAATCCCATCCAGATCGGGACCATCAACAACACCAGCAGTGGGTCCAAGGCTGATCACTCCGGGCACGTGGACACCCCCTTGCCCGGAATATATCCAGGATGGGATGGACGATACCTCGGACGTCGTAACAATGTACCGACTACCATTCCCGAAGACGTCGACGGAGATGTCTACATGGAGCCGCCGATGGTTGCCGTCGCAGCCCAGAGTTCATCATCAGCAAGCGGATCGGCAGCGCCAGTCGCACCGCCCCCATCACCGGACAGCTTCGCGCAGGGAGCCAGCTCGTCGCCATCATCCCCGATGACGGTTACCAGTTCCTCGTCAGCCAGCGTGGTTTCTTGGAACGGATCGACGCCAACGGTTCCGCCAGTAGAAATGAACGCATGTGTGGCCGCCGAGCACAACGTACGCGTGGGACACAACGCACACAGTGTCTACATCACCTGCAGGACGTGCAGGAAGCACGCTACGTGGCTACGCAGGAATTATGTGACCCATGAGCCAGATTTCTCGAGGATGCATAATAGTCTGCGCTGGGATTTACAGAACAGATGGAGGCAGCTACAAGGACTGCCCGGCAAGGCGAAAGCTCAAAAGAAGATTTCGTGAGCACGCCATCGTTTTATGTTTGGCGCCACATCCTGTGGCAGATTATGTAAATCCGCATTGCTCTGTTAAGCTCGTTTCATATTTGGCGCCACATCCTGTGGCAGATTACGACAGTCCGCATCGTTTTGTCAGTTCGTTCTTTTACACCTGGAGCCACATAGTGTGGCAGATTGCGTAAATCCGAATTGTCTTACTAGCTTGTTTTTTTTTTATTTGGCGCCACACCCTGTGGCATACTACGCTAGTCCGCATTGTTCGAAGCTTCATTCAGTGTGCACAGATTTCCTTTCTTTATGTGGTGACGACCACACTATTGAGATTTTATCTTGATAAGACAGCGCTATTTGAGTTTTGTCGCATAGCGATCGGACTCGCGCAGCTGTTCGTTTTGAGAATTTATGTCTTTCTCGCCGGTGCGTGTAGCAGCACCCGTTAAATGCCCCGGGGCAGCCGGATAGCATGCCGACAGGGCCGTTTGCCTGTGTTTGTTTTGAGAGCGCTCTGATTAATGAAGTGAGCTGCAATCTGATGATTGCCGCTCGACGGCGCCGCGAGCGTCAATCAGGAGGAGTGTGATTCCCGCTCACTCCCTGTGCCCTTCCTGTATCCCCGCTCTATCCCTTATGCTCGCTCGTGCCGCTGCCGTTTTGTTTCAAACTAGGGCCCTTGGCCTTAGAGCTACGCAGAGAGTTTCGCCGCGCGATTCCTCGACAAACGATATCAGCGATATCCATAT